GATTAAAAAAATTGTTTTGGGCAGGAGGAAATAACTTTGAATAGCTAACCAGCTAGTTAGCCAGCTCAGCTTTGTAATTATGGCTACTCTAGAAGCTGGGCCAAGAAGAATTCAAGGTGTGTCTCTGCTATAGAAAGAATTCAATGGCTGCTTGACAATCCAGAAAGAAAAAAGAAAGAAAGAAAGCATCCAAGGAAGCAGGAAGCAAGGAAAGGAAGGCTGAAGAATGTAGCTCTGTGGCAGAGCTTGTTTAGCATATGTGCAGTCCTAGGTCAACCTGAGTACTGAGTACTAAGGGTAGAGGAGAGGGAGAGAGTGAAACATAAAATGCATCAAGAATTGCTCTTTGCTTTAAATAAACTCATAAGCCACTACCATGAAATCATTAAAGTTAGACACCAACATGATCGGTAACTTCATGATAAGCAAAATAAAATTAGCATCTACTAATCTGTAGCCCAACTGATTTAAAATGAAAAAAATAAAATAAAATAAAAACAAAACCAAAAACCAAAAACCAAAAAACCAAGAACCACATATAGATAGGACAGAGGACTAATACCTATAATAAATAAAGAACTCCAAAAGTTAAATATCAAACAAATAAACCATGAAATCAACAAATGAACCAGATATACAGTTCTCAAAAACAAAACAAAAAAAGTGACCAGTAAATGTTTGAAAAAGTGTTGTCTTTAGTTATCAAGGGAATTAAAAATAAATCTGCTTTGAGATTCCATTTTGTCTTCATCAGGGCTAGAGAGATGGTTCATTCGCTAAGTGTTTGTTGATTGTGCAGAGGACATAGGTTTAGTTCCCAGCATCCATGTGGTGGCTCACAACCATCTGTAACTCAAATTGTAGGTGCCTAACCTCTTCTTCCAACCCTTACAGGTAGCAAGCATACACATGGCACACAGCATACATGTAGGCAGAACACACTCATTTACACAAAATAAATAAAAGAAAAAAATAAAAATGGTGATCACCAAGTAAAGACAACAGCAAATGGTGAGGATGGGGGGAAATTAGGAAGCCTTGGTAGGAATGTAAGCTCATACAGCCATTATGGAAGTCAGTGTAGAAGCTCCTCCAAAAACTAACAATAGACATATGACCCAGCTACACTGTTTGTGGGTATATATACCTGAAATATTGTCAGCACACCATAGAGATCCTTGCACATTCATAGCTACTTCTATATTATTCATGACAACACACACACACACACACACACACACACACACACACACACACACACCCTCCTAGATGCCCAAACACACACAACAGAATTTCTCTGGAAGGAAATGAAATCATAGTATCTCCAAGAAACTGGATTTACTGGAGATCATTGTGTTAAGTGAAATAAACCTGACTCAGAAAGACAAAAAAAAAAAAAAAAAGTTTTTCTCTCATACATGGTCTTTAGATTTAACTTTCTGTGTGTACATATGGGTTGTATGTAAGTAAAAAGGGGACCCTGGCAGAGAAAAATAAACAAGGGCATTGGTGGAAGGTGAGTAATGGAACACATGTGACATAAAAACATGAGAGAGGACAATTTAGAGGGAGGGGAGGAAGGAACAGCAGATGAGCAAGTACAGTGGCATAGATGTATGAAATGCTATAACAAAACCCACTAATATGTATGCTAATTTAAAAAATTAATAGAAATTAATAAATGAGCTACCTCAAGTGGGTAAAGGCACTTTCTAACAGGCTTGACTACCTGAGTTCTATCTCTTGAACTCATGTAAAAGTTGAAAGAGAAAATTAATTCTGGCCTCTGCTTTTGGGTACACATACATTTATATTAAATAAAAATAAAGTAAAAAAATTGTTTTATTAATTACCTTGTATTAAGGCTTTCATATCCCCTGTGTTCTTCCATCTCTTTTTGAAAGTTCCACATATGCCCTGTTATTTGTGACATGTTCCCTTAATAACTATGTTTATATGCCTTGCCTCTTTACTATATTCTAATTCATCTTATCTCTTATTTTGTTTTGTTTTGTTTGAGACAGAGTTTCTCTGTCCTAGAAGTCACTCTGTAGACTAGACTGGCCTTGAACTCAAAGATCCACCTGCCTCCGCCACCTGAGCGATGCGATTAAAGGTGTGCACACCAACACCAGCTTCATTTCACACTTTCTGATCTTACCACACCGGGCATTGGATTATTTACTTCACATTTGTAATGCAGTACAAGGAAATGTAAATCTGTGTTAACAACAGTAACTAATAATAGTAAAGTAGAAAAAAAATCAAATAAGAATAGAGATAGAGGATGAGATCAAATCACAGAATAAGAGCAAAACTGGTGGGTGTTTCAGATGCAAGCTGAAAGTATGAACTAAGGCAGCACACAAATACAGAACTGAGACATGGCAGAAATACCAAAATTCTGCTGACACTACTTTGAGCAATCTTACACCTTCACAACAGGACTAGCAAGTTTTAAAAACAAACTCACTTGTGATTTTTGAAATGGGTGAGACAATCTGGAAGGTTACACCCATGCTTACAACTTTGTTTTATTCTCCCCCGAGGCTGAGTCATGCTCTATCATCACAAAAATCACATGCAATCATGCAGCTAAGCTTCTTGACTGAAAAATCATATAAGCTGATTTGGCCGTGTTAGGTGATTTGATAAAGAACAGTTGATAAATGTGCTTGGATCTGGCTGGTTGTTAAGGAGAAACTCAACTGATCAGAGAATGTCATACAAATACTAATATGAGACATCTCCAAAGCCTGAAGGGACTGCTGCAAAAAGGGGGGGGGGCAGAAAGACCTTAAGAGCTAGGGGTTGGAGAGGACTGGGAAAAATTGTCTTTTGGACATGACAGGACTAATGATACCTAATGACTGTCAGTTGACAAACTCCCTCATCAGGACCCAGCCCAATGAACTCGGCTTGGTCTGGTTGCCCTGAACAAGACCTGCATAAGATCAAGCCAATCAACATTCCACCAAGAGGTAGGGAGGGGATCACAAGTCCACACAACTACCTGGGCAGCAAAAGACAGTTGATGGCTTCTGGGGGGGAGTCAGTTCATTAAATGCATGGGCTGTGGTAGGGCAACCATGCTCCAGCATGGGGCTCACACCCATGAATAAATATATATGTGGGCAGCCCAAAAGACTTGGGTTATATAAAAGGGGGGAGAGGAACATGAAGTTGGATGGGTGAGGAGTTGGGGAAGGAATGGAAGATGGATACAATCAAAATATATTGTATGAAATTCTGAAAGAATAAAAAACATTCTATTAACAATGTGTTTGGTTCTCTGTGGAGACAGCTTACAGACACATGCACTGTGTGACTGTCCTGACTTTCAGTTTAATGCTATGCAGCATAGCTACCTTGATGAGATGGAGTGATGCTCCTGACAGATTGTTCATCTCCCTCAATATGGTGTAATGCTTTCTAAATGCATCCTTTAGATGATCAATTTTGTATCAACTTGCTTGCCTGCTGTGTTGATTGGCCACTTTGACTAAAGACACACTCTGATACTTTTCTTGATTATATATTGAAACCACCTAGCTTTTGCTGAGTTGTATCTTAACAGCAGACATAATATAGTGGCTGTGTAGAATGAATGTTAAGATAAGAGATCTGAATTCAAGTCCTAGATCTGCCACTTAAAAGACAAAATATGAAACCTCATCTTCCAACCAGTAGTCATCCTCTCATTCAATACACATATGTACACACGCACACATAAAACTAGGGAGATATAGCAGATGCAGGGCCTCCAACCTAACAAGTGGAATGACTATATTAAATCATTACTGCCATCAAACCAAATACAAAAGAGCTGAAGGCTATGATGTAGGCTAAAACCAACTAAGACTGGGATGCACATAAAGTACTATAAAGTGACATTTGGCCTGGGCCCTGATGAGGGAGTTTGTTAGGTGACAATCATTAGATAATTTAGGCAGTTATAAAAGAAGGAAATGTGCTTAGGATTTACCCTGATAGAAAATACACCCTTCCCAGTACTATTACATCAAACTTTAGCAATTTATGTCTCTGAAATCATTCAGAAGTTCAGACACTTATAGAAATCAATTAGGCTTATTTTTAGCAAATTCCAGTTGGCTTTACAGAACACACCAAAGTATTAGCATCAGTGTGGGAAAAATTTGATGCGTCTCCAGATGATACTGAAAATCCTCATATAAAGCTTACATATAAGTAATGACTATATATCAGTGATTACTCTGCTGCTAAAAATAATGTAATAGAGAAAAAAATAGATTATTAGCTTATTCAGAGGAAAAAAGTCTACACAGTGGTGCTGTGGTGAAAAAGAAAGGTTGCAGAAGATCCTTGGTTTGTTCCACAGCTTTCCTGTAAAGTGAATGCTACTAAAATTGGGGTAGTGAAATTAAATTATGTTGCTATTATTTAAACCGAACACATATGAAGCAGAAAATCCCATTTCCTTTTTATTAGCATAAATTAATTGTACAAAATAATGCAAAAACCAATTTTTGAGTTAAGGCTCCCAAAGACAAAGGCCTTCAGTGTCTCCAACTCCAGAAGCACCACGGTTTCCTATTCTGTTCTTTCTCTGTTCTTGAGTGAATCAAAGAATTACTAAGAAACATTATTTCCTGGTAGTATGATTCAAGAGACTGGGAAAAAAAGTTAAAATGCCTACAGCAAAATGCCCAAGCAATAAGGAAGCTTTGCAGAGTGCCACAATAGCCAATAAACAGGACACTCTTGATGTTATAGGTCCCAGTACCAAGGTGGGCCAGGAGGAGTGCAACAAACACCTGCCAAAGATCAGAGAGTCATACAAAGAACAGCTGCAGAGGGAGCTTTTTGCTTCCATGACGTAGAGCAGCTCCCACCTCGCGCAGTATTCTCTCCCTTCTCAAAACCACCCTAGACCTAGCACCCGCCCACAAACACCCCTCCACAGTACTGTAATTCTTCTAACCCCACGTCTGTAGGTGTGACCGGCTGCGCCTACTTACTGAGCTGTCCTCCGCCCGACGTCGTACTCGGTTCCCGGCCTCCAGCGCCTCCAACGCTGGGTGCTCCGGGGATCCCGGGCGCCCCCATCCCTGGTGGGGTCCCACTCTGCCTCTCGAAGTTGCCAGGATTGGAGAAGTAATCGCGCAGCCGCGGTAGCTCGCGGCCGCTCTCCAACAGCTCTGTGTGTAGCTCCAGGGCAGTCAGCAGGTATTGATCGCGCAACAGCTGGGCGGCGATGGCATCGATGGACAATCGGGCAGTGGTCTCCCCGCTGCCCCCCAAGGCCGCCGGAGCCGCGGTCGCCTCCACAGGGAGTCCTGGTCGCGCGCTGCTCCCCAGGGCCACGGGGTCCTGTGGCGACAGCGAGCCCGCAGAGCCCGGATCTACGCCGACCCCAGCACCCAGCCGAAGTCCGGACCGCCGCTCCTCGGCGGCCGCTACCTCGTCGTCCTCCTCATCGGAATCGCTGAGGAATGGATTTACGCCGCCACCACTGCCACCACCTCCGGGCGCCATCGCCGCCATCTTACTGTCAGGAGTGTGGGTGCTTCTCTGCCTGGCCCGACAGGCCGCAGGCTGAATCCCCGTCAGCTCCCGGGAGGCACTGGAGACTCAGACAGCCCGGGCGGACCGCGCCCCTTCTTCTCGCCTAGAGACTAGGGCGGAGGGGGAGGCAGGAGGCCGGGATGCAGCAGCACCTGCCGCCTCAGCCACCGCTGCACCAGCAGCGGGCTCTGCAGGCGTCTTCCTGGTCTCTACTCTCGCGAGAACTGGTTTGTGTCCCGTCCTCGCTCCGCCCCGTCCCCGCCTCAGCCCCACCCACTTCAGGCCTAGGAGTCGGAAGATTGAAGGGCCCGCTCGGGACTCAAACGTCAAGCCACGCCCACAGCCCCTCGCGGATTGGCTGGAGTTATTGGGGCAGGCCAGAGAGTTATCGCGAGAGCCGAGGTGGCCTGGGCATGTTGGGGGCGTTCCCTGGAGGTGCAGTAGAAGAGGTGGCCGAGGGGTACCGGGTGGCTGTTCTTTGAGAGGGTTGGGGGACCATCCTTCCCGAGATCTTTCGTGGCCCCGGGTCCTGACTTCGTGTTGAGGAGGCCCCGTTCCCGAGACCCGGCCTGAGCCGGATAAGCCCCAGGTAAAGTCCCGGGACCCTAGCACTTGAGGTGTGGCCGCGCCATCCCGGTGGCCTCGCGCCCGCAGGTGACCTCGCACCCGCAGGTGGCCTCATGCTCCCTTCATGCTTCATTTTCTGCCGCTGTTTGCTGTCTCCGCCCAGATAGCGAGTGCCGTGGGCAATGGTTGGAATCTGGTTTCTTTGCTCTTCCGTACTTGGAGGTCTAGCGACAGCAGGGACTCCTTGCGGTGAAGGGAGGGCTCCCCATCAGTCCCCAAAGGGGACCTAGGAAGCTGCAGGGTGCAGATAGAGGCTGGAAGGAAATTGCAGTACTGAGTTTCGAGTTGCCTTCTCACTCATCTGTGAACTGCCTGGACTTGGATGACGAACTAAGTGCTCTGTGAGCCCTTGGGAACTAACAAACAGTTTGCACTATTAAGTGCAGCTATTAAGCGCTGTCTCACTAGTAGACGGCTGTAAACTTTAGTCTGGACAGCTTCGATGACCCGGTCAAGTCGTTCCAGTAGGACACATTTAGTGGCACCAACATCAGTCATCTTTTGTCCAAAACCATTGTTTTACACCATCTCCTGAAACTTTTCTGAGTTCATTTATGCTATAATCAAGGTTTTTTTATTGTGCAGCGTAACGATTTAAAAAAAATTGCACGCTGTAGGGAGATTTGATTTCCTTTGTGAAACGTTAATGCATAACTGTAAACCTAAGTTTGGAAGATCATTTATGTTTCGTGTTATTCCATGATTGTAGGCTGAGGTGATAAGGGGATGATTTCCCTGCCGTTATTCCTGATAGCTTGCGTTTTGTTACACACAAATTGCCACTTTTTTTACGTTATACATTTCTTTCGCTACTATAAACAGCCCCCAAACAGACAATGAAATTAATACGCAGCAATGCTGACTACCAGCCTTGTTACAATGAAGCACTGAAGTGTCTCCTTTAGCTTTGTAGAAAATAGAAATAGAGCATTGTTATATGACCGATTATTGGTTTACATGTAAAGTATGCCACAAGTTAAATGCAGGCTTTTACTTCAGTTTAATCAGTATCAATAAACTAAAATTTCATTTGAACTAGGCTTTGAGAGTTTTTGTTTTGTTTTGTTTGGCCATCATTATTGTTGTAGTTTGTGTTTTCTTAGAAGCTTTTAAAATACTTTTACATGTGATAGGACGGTGAGAGGAGGAATATGGGGGCGGGTGGATGGTTTAAGTTGGGGATAGACAGATGGGGAGAGAGTTAACCCAAATTGTAAAAGACTATAAAGAACCTTGCTACATTGTAAGATAATTGAAAAACTTGTGCTAGTGTTTAGTGTTTAGTTGTTGTTTAAATAGGACTTTAGCTTCCAATTCGTTGGGTAAATACTGTTCTGTGCCATTTATTGATGAATCTGAAAAAAAAAAAGGTCTTCAGTATCATGGAAATAGTACAAGATGGCCAGTATTGTATTGTGTTTCTCATTTCTTAGCAAAAGAGATGACCAGTCCTGACTCTGAGATGACAAAGAACAGACCCAAACTTTGGAATGGAGGATTAATGAATGGCAGGGCAAAGACATGAGCAGGAATGCATTGTTTATGTACACTTTTTCCTTCTTTATAATGAGAAAGTTTGGAAAGCTACATTCAGGGTCCCTGAGGAGAACTGCAGTTAAGATGATAGAAGAGCCTGTACACAGTATTCATTGTGTATGGAAATGTTTGCGCCTCAGCATCACTTGCATTCATCTGCCCAGGGGGGATAATGAAAGTAAGTAGAATTGTGAATGCTCTTGTCACTGTGCCTAGTAGCTGGTTGGCAACAGATGTTAGTATGGTCAGTTATTAGTTAATGGCATATTGGATACTGAGGACATTTGGCAGGTTTTAAAAAACAAGTATCATTGGCTAAAGGAGCCCGGAAAAGCAATAAAGTCAAGTAAGACTAAAAGAGGCAGCAGCTTTAATTTAGGGTGCAAATTGAAAATAGTTTTAAATTTTTTGCCTCTGAGTCTAAAGAAGTTGAACGAATAAGTTCTTCTGTGTCTGACCTGCTATACACATCTGTAGTTGCTATTTCTAGTTCCTAGCCTGTAACTGGGGCTTGTTTATCTAACTTCATGTTCTCAGCAAATCAACTGACCAGTCTTCCCATAGGGTAACTTTGCCTCTCTGCACGGTGCATGATTAGATTTAATCAACACACTGGGATATTAAGAATTTCTGACCTCTACTTATAGTTTATTAATAGTTACTGGGAATTTTCTTTCTTCATTGGAAGACTGACCAAGGATGACATCTGAATAAGGATAGTCATTGATGTTTGTCTTCTTAGCAATAAAAATATGAAAGATAGATTAAAAAACACTTTAATCATTTATGTGTTAAAATTATTTGAGGATTTAGTAGTCTTAGATAACCACAAATAACATTAGAAATGCAAAGTTTGGTTGATTTAATGTTTGATAGAATCTATTTATTAGGTTTTAGTTTATGATGTTAAATATCCCACAGATGTAAACTAGATTTTTATAGGCAAATGACTATGTGTGCTTATTAAATTTTAATAACTGCACATTTATTTTGGAGGTTTCCAAACAATTCAACTATGCCAACGAAGTTTTCCTTTTCAATAAATGTGAATAAAATGATTCCCTTTAAAGACAAATGTTATATGGCAAGTATTGCTTGAGATATATGTGATTGGATATAATAAACACTGTATGAATATTCAAGTAAATGCAGATTCATGTATAATAAATTATTTAAACAAAATATGGGCTTTTTTTGTGTTTGTTTTGAAAATATCTTTGAAGCTTCACAGATTTTATCCAGGAAACCCAAACAGAAAAGCAAAGCGACCTCTAGTGGTTTTTGTACATACTGGTATTGAAATTTAATTCTAAATGATTTATTCAGCAAACATTTGAGTCTTTGCATAGAACTGTGATGGATGGAAATGATGACCATTCCTGCTGTCCTTGAATTATCATGAAGTGACAGAAACAGACATTAAATCATCAAAGACATAGTGATGCATTCAGCTCACAAGTCTACCACTGAGCAAAATCCAGAGTCCCATATATATATATTTCATTTATCATATGGCTGCTATTGGTAGTCAAAACTGGAGGAAAACTACTTCAGTGTTTTTAATTTGGGATTTGTTAGCAAAGATACATTTATAGGACAAGATGTGATAATGGTATGTGGTATATGGGAAGCATTTTTTTTTAATCTGTGTTTTTTTTTTTTAAAGATTTTATTTATTTATTATGTATACAACATTCTGCTTCTATATATATCTGCACACCAGAAGAGGGCACCAGATCTCATGATGGATGGTTGTAAGCCACCATGTGGTTGCTGGGACTTGAACTCAGGACCTCTGGAAGAGCAGTATGGTGCTCTTAACCTCTGAGCCATCTCTCCAGCCCCCGGGAAGCATTTGTTTTTAAGAGAAGTGGTAATCTATGTTCAAGGAAAAATGAATAGCTGGGGCCAGCAAGATGGCACAGTACCTAAAGGCATTACCACTGAACCTGAAGACAAGTGTTTGATTTCAGAGCTGCCTTCTGATCTCCACATTTGTACCTTGGCATGTATGTGCATATGCATGTGTAAGCACACACACACACACACACACACACACACACACACACACACACACACAGGAATGCACACACAAATAAAAAATGGAATAAAACATTTTGAATGTTAATATCTTTTTAAAAAATATGTAAAGGTCCTTACCTCCACAAAAATGGAGAGAAGATGATACATTTCATTTATTTATTTTTGGTTTTTTGAGGCAAGGTTTCTCTGGGTAGCCTTGGTTGTCCTGGAACTAACTTGGTAGACCAGGCTGGTCTCAAATGCACAGAAATCCACCTGTCACTGCCTCCTCAGTGCTGGGATTAAAGGTGTGCACCACCAATGCCCAGTGATAAGATAATTTTTAAAGAAACTGTTGAAAAGTATTTGCTTAGAACCAGTATTTCATCCTCCCTAATGCTGCAACGACCCTTTAATATAGTTCCTTATGTTGTGGTGGCCCCCAACCATAAAATTATTTTCATTGCTACTTCATGACTGTAATTTTGTTCCTGTTACAAATTATGATGTAAATATCTGTGTTTTCCAGTGGTCTTAGGTTAACCCTGTGAAAGAGTCATTTGACTCACAAAGGGGTCAAGACCCACAGGTTGAGAACTGCTGGCTTATAAGGTGGTAGAATCCTGGCTAAATTTTTTTTTTTTGTATTTCAATTATCATTATTCAGAACACCATTGTCATGATCGTGTCCATTGAGTAGTTTCAGTCATACAAACTATAAAGCAAGCATTGCATTCAGAGATTATGTTGCACAATTAATCGTTGTATGTTTTGTTCACCCTAAATTCCCTTAGAATAAAACAAAGTATCTTCTAATTTGACCTTTTAGTTCATTATTTTTTAAATTTGCTTGTCTTTGGTAAGCACATTTACAGTGTCTCTTTCCTCTTTACATCCTTGTGATTTTTGGTTCTTCAAACTAGGAAGAATAAGATGTGTCTGTAGTTCTGATCTTTCGTATTTTTCACCTCAGGGTCATTGTTTGTACCCAACACTGCTTCAAGTAGGAGAAATTCTAGTGTTTCGTTTTCTTTCTTTCTCTCTTTTTTTTTTTTTTTTTTTTTTTTTTTTTTTTCTCTTTTTTTTTTTTTTTTTTTTTTTTTTTTGGTTTTTTGAGACAGGGTTTCCCTGTGGCTTTGGAGGCTGTCTGGAACTAGCTCTTGTAGACCACACTGGTCTCGAACTCACAGAGATCTGCCTGCCTCTGCCTCCCGAGTGCTGTGATTAAAGGTGTGCGTCACCAACGCCCAGCTTGTTTTCTTTCTTAATCTGTAGACATATTTACAAACAAAAGCAAAATGATAGACTGATTTGAAAACATTCCTATGGACTTTTTGATCTTTGAGGTTTAATGACACACTATCTTACAGTATTATTTAAACATTCAGTTGGTTTTCTTTCTTTAGCATTTGTAAGCTCATCGGATCTCTGATAGGTCTTCCTGGTACTCTTTTCTAGGGACACACAATTTGTAGTCAATGAATAAATAAAACCCATTTTATTGACTTAGGGAAATAAAGAGTTTATTTAAGGAGTACAGGTTTCTGACGCACAAATGAAGTTTAACTTCTGTGTGTAACTGCAAAATAGATGGAATGCATGTTTCTCACTCAGTTTGTTGCTACTCGAGAGAGTTAGACAAACCCCCTAAGCTGATTACCAAAGGGGGGGGGAAACTCAAAAAATTTAAAGGTGTGAGAAATTTAATAAATTTAAATTCTTAGAGTAGGAACAGAGTTGTGGGGAGAATCAAGAATGGCCTGAATTATATTTTCTGTTATTTAGAATTTCCTGTGATCGACCCTAACTAATTAGGACATTTTGTTCTGTGTTCCTTTGCTATTTTTTTTTTTTAAGGGGATATTTTTTAAGATAGGGTTTCTCTATGGCTTTGGAGGCTGTCCTGGAATTAACTCTAGTAGACCAGGTTGGTCTCCAACTCACAGAGATCCACCTGCCTCTGCCTCCTGAGTTCTGGGACTAAAGGCGTGAGCCATCACTGCCTGGCTCCTTTGCTAATTTTTAATTGTTTAGTAGTTAACTGGATCAGTTACAGTTTTATTAATCCTAATTGAACTTGACTTCTTTTTGCTTGGTGTACTTTAACGTGTATTTTATTTCAGTATTATCCTGTTAAACGGTGTTTATTGTTGCCACTGTAAACAGGGAAGTTGTAAGTTGTGTAGTGTTCTGACCCAGGGCCAGTGTGTGTGAAGCCATTAGAAGATCCTCACCAGGTGTGTCCAGCGTAACTTTGTGCTCTGTTTTGGCTTCTCTTGCAGATAGCTCATTCTGGATATGTTGCTGTTTTTCGCTTTGGGACTCCTCGTACATTTTGTGTTCTTCGCCTCCATCTTTGACATTTATTTTACATCTCCTTTGGTGCATGGAATGACTCCTCAGTTTACACCATTACCTCCTCCAGCAAAAAGATTAGTGTTGTTTGTTGCTGATGGCCTGAGAGCAGATGCTCTTTATGGATTAGATGAAGATGGAAACTCTAGCGCACCTTTTATTAGGTAAGGATCTCAGCAGGTTTAATGGTAGATTGAGTTTAAGGTAAATAGATTTTATTATGAACTGATGAACATTAGGTTATAGCTGACAATTTTTTAAACTTTTTAAAGTTTTTTTTTTTTTTTTTTTTTTTTTTTGACATAAACATGGGTTTGGGAAGAATGGCCTGGAATTTGCTATGCAGACCAGGCTGGCGACAAACTCAAAGATTAGCCTGCTTCTGCCTCCCAGGCCCTCAGATTAAGGCCATGTACCTCCTCCATACCTGACCTTTTTTTTTTTTCCCCCCGTAACTTTAAAAATATGTGGGTTTTTTTCTTTCACATTCACAACTGTAGATGTACATATTGTAGAGTTTTTAGTTTTTTTTCCCTCAAACAATTTTCCCTCAAAAAATATGACAATGTGGCCTTTGTCCACCAAATACTATACTGCATGTGTTAAGAACAAAGGCTTTGTTTTATATAGCTATATACTGTCGTCACATCAAGTAAAATTTAACAATATAATATTCTGCATGTCATTTTTTCCCTCCATAACCAAACACCTCTGATTTGTGGCTTGAAACACTAGGGTGTCGTTTGTCTCTTACTTCTCTGGAATAGGGGAGTGTTTTCTTTTTCATATTACCTGGGCTCTTTGATGCTGCTGTGGTGAACTGGTGGGCAGTATATGATTGGGCTCAACTGGGTTTTGAGATTCCTTTCCATCTTAAAATTAAGTTTTTGGTTTGAGTCCTTGTATAAGAATCTTTCTTAAAGCCTTATGAGAGTTTTAATACTAGCGTATGTTAACTGTTCATCCCATTTGTCTTTTAGGAATGTTATAATGCATGAAGGCAGCTGGGGAGTATCTCACACACGTGTGCCAACAGAATCTCGGCCTGGCCATGTAGCCCTAATAGCTGGGTTTTATGAGGATGTCAGTGCAGTTGCCAAAGGTTGTGTTCTGAAACAATTTTATCAAGTAAAATGCTTGCTATGTAAATAATTTTCCTACCATGGAATAATGTTTTTAAAGATTTGGCTGTGTGTGTGTGTGTGTGTGTGTGTGTGTGTGTGTGTGTGTGTGTGTGTGTGTGTGTTTGCCTGTTTATACACCATATGTGTTCAGGTGCCCATGGAGACTAGAAGAAGGTATTCAACTCCCTGGAACTAGAGTTACAGATGATTGCTGTAATAAAAAAAAAAAAAAAAAAAATCCAGAGAGACACCATGCAACAGAGTTCAATCCGACCTTTTTTGTTTTTTTTTTTTTGGTGTGGGGGTGGGGAGGGGGATTGTAAAAAGGGAAAAGGGGATGGGAAGCAGTGGAGGGGGGGAGAAAGAGAAGTGGGGAGGGGGGCAGTGGGAGATGGGCAGGGCCCTTTTAAAGGGAACATATTGAATAGGCACAGGTGGGTGCTCTTACTGGCAACAGCTGAGGGTGTATCCTATCAGAGTTCCAAAGGCCGGCCAGTACAAATGCCTAAATACTTACAGTTGTGAGCTATCCAGTGTTGGTGCTGGAAACCAAACTTAGGACATCTGGGTTCACAAGAGCAGCAAGTGCTTTAACCTCTAAGCCATCTCTCAAGCCCTAAGACTGTGCTTTGAGATTCTTTGACAGGTCTTTGAGCATGCCTTACTCATATGAATATATTCTGGTATTGATTCTGGAATTAAACTTTAGTCTGTCATCATTCTGTTCTGCTGAAAAAGTATGTATGGAAACACAGCTTTGTTAGACATTGCAATCAAGGATTTAAAAATGATTAATAAGTGAATTATCTACCATTTATTTAAAGATAGACTATAATATGCTAATAAAATCTGAGTTTTATGTGTTATCTTCAATACTATTTAAACAATGGTTCTTATTTTGTTGTTTTCTTACCATAATATTGTTTTCTTCTTTTCTTCATTACTCAAAGGATGGAAAGAAAATCCTGTAGAATTTGACTCTCTTTTTAATGAGAGCAAGTACACATGGAGCTGGGGGAGTCCAGATATCTTGCCTATGTTTGCCAAAGGTAAGAAGAGATACTGATTATATTTCCTCTAGTAGCAAATAAGTCAGAAATAAATGTTTTTATCCTTGCAGTATTGGGAACTGAACTCAGGGCCTCTTAAATACTAGGCTAGTCTATTATAAATACGCAGAGGCTTATCTTAAATATAGATTGTTTGGGCTGATGGCTCAGGCTTCTTGGTTAGCTCTCTCTTAATTATTAACCCATAACTATTAATCTGTGTATTTCTTCATGGCCTTATCTTACCGGAGAATGCCCAGTGTCCTATCTTCCTGGTAGCTACATGGCATCTCTAGGCTCCTCTCTGCCTTCTCTCCCCAGAATTCTCCTCATCTGGTAGCCCCGCCTATACTTCCTGCCTACTAGTGGCCAATCAGAGTTTTATTCATCAACCAATAAGAGAAATGTATACAGAAGGACATTCCCCTGTCACTATCCCTTAGTTTTTTACTCTTTATCTAAAAACAAACAAACAAACAAAAACTTCATTTAGCCAGGCATGGTGGTACATTCCTTTAATCTCAACATTCTGGAAGCAGAGGCAATTAGATCTCGCTGAGCCTGAGGCCAGCCTGCCCTACATAGTGAGTTCAGGCCAGCCAGAGCCATATATTCTGTGTGCTCACGGTGTCATGGTACTCATCCAAAAGTCAAAGGCAGCCTGCAGGAGTCATTTCTTTCCTTCTGCCATGTGGATCCCAGGAATGTTACTCAGGTTGTCAGGCTTGTTGCAAGTGTCTCTACCTGCTTAGCCATCTTGCTGTTTTGTTTTTCTTTATGTTTCTGTATTTAGCCATTTCTAGAGATTTTTATCACCTCTGAAACCAGGAATGTGACCTACAGTGGATTGAACTGTCAGTTCAACAGACAAGATTTCTCCTTTGTTGTATTTTAAATATAGCCATATAACACTCTTAGTATTATTGAGTTCAATGAAATGATATATTCAATCATTGATTAAAGTGCTTGTTCTCTTTATGGGGGACAGTGTTGGTGTCTGGTTCTTTATACTTAAATAATTTGTTAAAGAAGCCAGTAGATAGTTATGTAAGACTTTAAATATTCAAACATTTATAATGGCTAATTTATTTATTGTCCCCTAATTTTGACATTTAATGTATATAATACTAATATGACATTTATTATATTGAAATGCCACATACAGTTCACTGCATTGACATTTGGATTTATTAAATTTGTTTATGTGCACAGATCCACAAGTATTAATCCATTTCTTGATTAGAAAATTCATTTATTTTAAAAAGTCAGCTGGGTGAAGTTCTTGTCAGTAAATGATCTTTACTGGGAGCAAAGTGACAGATCATTTAATGTGAAGATTTTATAACATACATAGCCTGGATGTAGGTGGAACTACTGAAGCAAACTATGTGTTCAGAATTGTACATATGATGTTCATAGACTGGTATTACACTAGACAGATCTCATATGCTATGTGTATATATTTCATTCTTTAAGAAGCAGTGAGGGATGATGAAGTTACAGTGGCTTACCAAATTAATCTTCCTACTTCTGACCACAGTTGGTAAAACAAGACTGATACTTGAATCAGACACAGGAAGATAGGAATGTTTCATCCTTTGGATGTCTCCATTTGTGATGTGGGAAGGAGAATGGCTGAGCAGAGTCACAGAGTCACTAGAGCTGAGCTGATGTTGTAGAATGTCGTAACTTCATGCTACATCATCTTCATGACCTATAAGAGCTTATCCCCGGAATTGATTATAGATTCTTGATACAAATCTTATGAATTTATAAGATTAACATATTTGTCCACCTTTTTATTTGGCAATAAGCAGCATTTGACCTTCTTCCCTCAGTCCTTGTTTCTGAGATAGGCTGGCTTCAAACTTGTGTTTATTTTTCTTTTGTTTTTTTTTTTTGTTTGTTTTTCTTTGTGTCTGCTTCCCTAGAGCTGGAATTACAGGCACACACTAGAGTTTCATGCTGTTTATTTCCTTATGTTGAGACAAATACATATAATTTAAAGACAAGTGAATGTTTGAGTTTGTTTTAGTAAGTATTATGCTAGCCATCTTTATTTTATATCATAACCTCTTGAGAGCACATGTTTCAATGGAAATAAACTTCAGAACTTATTTTTATTTTATTGTATATTAGGATTTTGACTTTGGCAAGTTAAATATGTTATTTTGAGGACAAAAAATATGTTGATGTATATAACATGATTCATGGCATATAACATAAGTGTTATTTCTTTCATAAAGCATTTTGTAATTAATTCTGCTTACTTGTAAAATTCTTTAAGTAAAGCCAGGTCATGCTTGTAATCCTAGAACTCAGGAAGCAGGTTAAGAAGAAGGTTAATTTGAGGCCATGAGTTTAAGACTAGTATGGATAATATAGCAAGATTATCTCAAAACAACAGCAAAAATACTTTTGATTATTTCATGTTTTATGACAGCTTAAAGGTTTTGGTTTTGTTTATTTTAAATGTGTGTTTTCCTCAAATTTCCTTTTCAGGTGCTAGTGGTGACCATGTTTATACATATAGTTATGATGCCCAAAGAGAGGATTTTGGTGCCCAGGATGCTACAAAACTGGATACCTGGGTTTTTGATAAAGTTAAGGTGCGTGTTGTTTTGCTTTGTTTTGAAACAGGATCTTTTATGTAGACCAAGCTGGGCATAGTTTGGAACCTTCTTGCTTCAGTGTCTTTAGTCTTGTTTTACATGTGAGTACACCTGGGGAGGTATTTGCTATGTAGTGGTTTATAACTAAATACACACTTATGTAGAATCCTGGAAATTTATTTCTCAGTGAACTCATCTTAAGTTTAGTTTGCTGTCTGTCTGAACTTGAGCATTCGATATTATACCATGCTATTTTTAAAAGAAATTACATGTTCTACAGTGACTAATAAAATTCTTTTTTGAAATAACCCTCAAAAACTTAAGGTGTTTCTTAAGGTAAAATGAGCCCTAGATTACAATCCACAAAAACCTTCTTTCAATTTCTCATTTGATGAGTTACTGCAGGCAACTTTCAATCTTCTGTTGACCTTGGAGCTTTTGTCTGGTAGTAGGGGGCCTTGTGAGATGTGGAGTATATCTTGAAAATTCTGTTTCAGAGTAATACTTTTATAATAACAAAGAAATTAGATTTTAAAGAAAAATTGGGGGCTAGACAAATGGCTCAGCAGCTAAGAGTACCTACTGCTCTTGTAGAGTTCCCAGGTTTGATCTTTAGCACTGACATTGAGCAGTTCACAACCACCTATAACTTCAGTTCCAAGGATCTGACACTGTCTTCTGACCTCCTCAAGCACTTGGTAAACATACATATCGTCACATACACATTAAAAGAGTAATCTCTGCAGAAGAAAGTAAAATCAGATAAGCCAAAACAGATTAGCCAGCTAACCTTTATTAAATGCTCACAAGCTTCTTTAAGTAGTAGAACTTTAAAAAACGCTTTCAAAGTGACTGTTGTTGATACACAGGTTGAGCTCTGCCTTATTAGTATTTCATAGCTTCTCAAATCATGTGTCTGGTTGAAAGCTTTTGCTAGTTATGGAAAAAACTATACATTTTAACTTAAGGAGAATACAAATGGAAGCTTAAGAGCAGTTTTATCCTTGAATAATTTCTGTTAATTATTCCACATACTTTTAAATACTTTGTTTTCAACAATATTCATCTTGTTGAAAGGTAGTGTCTTTTAAATCTGTATATTTTTATTTAAACAATAATGATACATGTTATCATGATCTGTTTATTTAAAATAATCTTACAGTTCTCTCCTTGAGTACTTGCATACATACTTATGACTATGGGTCAGGGTGAATTATTTATCTCTGAAAAGCTTATGGATCTAGTTTATTATTGTGATGTAAATACATTAAGTTCTGAACTTTAGTTTGTTAAGTGGTATTTCTCCACCACAGGACACTCAAAACAGGCCCTGCTCATGGGAGAGGAAGTAGTTAGTATTTCTCACAATCTTAGTAAGAGGTCATAGTTTTACTGAAATGGCAGTGGGCAGGATGACAAAAAATGATCCATTTCTAAGTATATTTAAATATAATAAATGTTCTTGGACTGTTCCCACCACTGCCGTTGAACATTTGCCTCTTAACAAACTAGTTCTTTCAATTTTTTTTTTAAATTACAGTAGATCTGTGGTAAGAATGGTATGAAATGAAGATCCCTTTTCTATAATGATTTTGCCTTATTATATCAGAATAGTTCGATGATTATTTGGACAGAAATGTCTGCATTGGTAACAAAGATTCCATGTTGGTATATCTTGATGACAAAATGACACAATATAAAATGAATTAATTTCATAGTTACTTATAAATTAACCAGTTTTCACCCCATTTGTTACATGTAGGACTTCTTTGATGCTGCAAGGAACAACCAGTCTTTGTTCTCAAAAGTAAATGAAGAAAAAATTGTTTTTTTCTTACATTTATTAGGAATAGATACAAATGGACATGCGCACCGACCATCATCAAGGTAATTTTAATGTTGTATTCAATTTGATCTTGTGGGGAATAGCTGTTCTGTTAGAAATTTTGGTATAATATGAAATTTTCATTGTAATTATGATAACAGAACTAATACTTTATGTAACATCTATCCTGTATAATGTTTTCAGCTATATGATATATAATTTTATATTGGTTAAATCACCTACTTTGGCCATACTGCACACTAAAATAAGTGAAATAGATCTTGCATATATTCCATATTCTTCATTTATCAAGGCAGAGAAAAATGCATGAATTACTCACATTTTGGGAGTATATTTAGTAGACCTCAAAAGCACAAACATTTTATGGTATGAATTTTTGTAACAAAAGATGTAATCCCTGTGGGTGTTTATTTAAATCAGCATTATATCTGGCAAACAATTGCATAAAGTGTTGCTTATTACTTCTTTAGTGTTATTCTAAGCTTTGCAGACCATAAGAAGTAATCATTTAAATTTTTTTCTTAATTTTGAAGTGGTTTTATATTAACTGTAATGTCTGCTGGTTTAATTACCAGCATGTATATCTCATATTCCCCTAGTTTAAGATGATACACTGTTTTCATTAGTGGAATATATTCCTATTAACCTAGCTGTGTTCAACTATATGGGAAGCTTGAGTACAGTTTGTTCTCTACCCTGCAGTAGATTTAAGTCACAAATACTTTATAGGATGGTAATATACTTTAAATAATGACACTTTCCTATTCAGGTCACCAGAACGGTTTATAAGACTCAAACTTGGAAGTCTCCATTATTCTGTTTAGAATTTGAAAAGTGTTCATTAATATTTACTAATCAATATTTTCCTTTTTAAATGTTTATGAAAACTGTTTCAGGGGTTTTAAAATTCATTAAAGGAAAAAAAATAGTCTTACTAGGGGCTCTGATTTTAAAATAGTAAAGATTAAACCTGAAAGCATTTCTTCAGTTCTTGACTCTAAATGTAATCAGTCTGGGTTGAATAAATTTGATTTCTGTAAATTAATTTAACTTGTTTTTTTGTTTCTTTGTAAACAGGGAATATAAGGACAATATTAAAAAAGTTGATGATGGAGTGAAGGAAATTGTGTCAGTATTCAAGCATTTTTATGGTGATGATGGGAAAACAGCATTTATTTTCACCTCTGACCATGGAATGACGGACTGGGGTTAGTCTGTCTTTCAGGGCTACCTCATTGAAAGTAGTGGCAGATACAGCTTACATTCAGAAGATCAGGTGTTTGCAATATGCAAGTGTCCAGCATGTAACTTTATGTTTAAAATGGTAGTCTGACCTTCTATAAAAGGTATTTTTCTAATTGTAAAATGATATAGTCTCATTTATAAATGAGAAAGTAGAAATAAAAAAAATGAAGCCCAAGTATTTTAAAATTTTCTTCACACTTTTCTATTAGAAAAGAAATTTTATCTGGAATTCTGTACATGTGGAGGCAAAGGGAGTGATGATAGTTAAGATGCATTACTGAGGACTGCCTGGACAACTGAATTCATGTTAGATAAGTCCATGCTCCTCGTGAGATTCCCAAGGCAAATGTAGTTTGTTCTCAGAGAACAGTGTGACATAAAGGTGAAGTTTGAGTTCTTGAATCACAAGATGAAATTTTAGTGAGCTGGGTCCCATTTTATAAAGGACTGCTTTGTGCTGCTCCATTTACAGTGTAGCTGGAAGAAAAGGATTTTTTGTCAGTTACTTGTGCATAGCTGTGACCAAAGTACATGAGAACAGCTTAAGAGGAAATATTTACTTTGGCTCACTGTTTTAGAGGAGATGATTCCCCTGAAAATCTCTTCCCTCCTCTTTCTGCCTCTGTCTGCCCTAGCTACTTCTATGATGATCCCTAGGCCTTGATGTGTATATGCACACATGACATAGATGCCCCATTAATAGCTGAACATTCATTAGCCACCAGTTTTCATCACTTTGATCAGTTATGTATCACTGCAAGTATTGTGCCTCTCTTTAAGAAGCAGCTTCATTGACTGAAGCCTGTAAAAGCCCTGATATATGGATATCAGCATAGTTATTGAGAAGACAATGTGACAGTCACATTATATCCATTTAGTAAAACAGCAGTAGTTTCCCCAGCCTTACATGCATCAATTCTTTAAAGCACAGCATTTAGAGATTGTTTTGCATTGTCATCTGATGACTCTTGATGTCTGTGTGCTGTAGGTTCCCATGGGGCTGGACATCCTTCAGAGACTTTAACTCCTTTAGTCACCTGGGGAGCCGGAATCAAGTTTCCTGAGAAAGTATCAGCTCAGCAATTTGATGACAAATTTTTAAAAGGTACAAATATTTGTCTTTGTTGTCACAAATGCCTGTGTATATAGCATTTAAAATACAACCAAGCATTTAAAATTAAACCAAGTTGACATTTAAAAAACAATGAATTTTTCAAAATCACTTCTCATTTTACCGATTGTGTTATTATTTTTGTCAAATAAAAATGCTCCAAATAAAGGAGTTGGTTAGTTTGCATTCTCTCCCTTTCTCTTTTTTTCCTCAGAACTATTTGTTGAACATTCCCCAATATACCACTCTTATTTTGGCTTTTTTAGATGTCTAGGAATTAGAAATTTTAATCTTGTTTTATTATGTTAAAAATTTTGATTAGTAATAAATAAGAATAAAACAAATAAGATGCACAGTTTCTTAGAGGTAAATTATAAAATTAATTACAATTTTTTAGCTTAAGCAAAAAATATATTATTAATTATGAGATTGCAGTATCTAAAAATATATATCCCTTATATGAAAAGCTAGATGTAGTATCAAGTTATTTCTGTCTGGACCCAGATGAAGACAGCACAGTATGTTTTCATGTAAGTCATGTTGCAGTTTTCATTATGCTGTTTATATATTGTCAGTGCTAACAGAGAATACCAGGCCAGGTCATAGGCCTACAGAGGAAGTATTTGAAAAAGGTCCAGAATACAGCAGTAATAAACTGTCATGATTCTTCCAGACTTGCTTAAACACAAATGAGTAGAACTCAGAGAGTTTTTTTTTTTTTTTTTTTTTTTTTTTTTTTTTTTTTTTTTTATCTACTGTGCTATCTTTGGAATGGTTCTTGTTTCCACAGATCTTAGTACTAGCACAGGGTTGTCCAGCTCATGGTCTGCATGTGGTCAATGATTGTTATGAACACTGACATAAACTTCCTAGTAGGCTTGTTTAAAACTTAAGTTTGTTTTTTTGTTGTCGTTGCATTTATTTGTTTATTCATTTATTTATTGTAACTCAATTGAGTCATTCTTGAGCATGAACTTTGTAGAGGATAACATTGTATCCCAATGACATATAAAGCAGATGTATATATGTACTCATGTTTGCCATGGAAGCCTCTGCCCAGTAGGCGATTCAAGTTATTAGAAACAAAAATTATATAAATAAGCTCTGTATTAGGTACTTTTTGTTGCTGTGGTAAACACCATGACCAAAAGCAATGTGGGGAGGACCTCAACATAAGGTCTTATACCCTGAACCTGCTAGAAGAGACAGTAGGGAATATGCTTGAACTGTAGGCCCAGGAAAGGACTCTCTGTCCTAGAACCTGGTAATGCAAGCACTGAGAGTAACAGCTGATAAACAGGACCACAGGAAAGAGTTTGTTATCTAGATTATAAAAATTACTCAAAAACTAAACAGCAACAAAAATCAAAGATTGGGGCATGGAACAGAAACTTTTCAAAAGATGAAATATAGATGGCTGAGAAATAAATATTTTTTTAATTTCAAATCTCTAGCCATCAGGTAGATGCAAATCAAAATTACTTTGAGATTCCATCTTAGCTCAGTCAGAAGAACTAAGCTCCAAACACAAATGACAACAAATGCTGAAGATGATGTGGGGAAGGGGACACCTACTCACTGCTGGTGGGAGGAGTGCAAACTGATAGAGCCACTATGGAAATCAGTGTGAGTTTCCTCAAAAACTGAAATAGATCTACCCCAGGAAGGGAATTTAAATACTAACTTAATATACTGTTTTAAAAATTAGGGGTTAGTGATCATAGGAACATCACAGCTATAGTTTTAAAACTTTGCTAACTGCTGTCAATCCTCAAAAAGGGAGGGAGAGTGTGTTGGCTTGCCTTAGTAACTGAAGCATAGCTGTGGTGAGTAGTAATCTTGCTGGCAGTTGACCTTAGGCTTGTACTTCCCTCTTTGTTTCCTTGGATGTTTGAACACTATATTTCCAAATGAACATGTTAAAAGCTTAAAAAATCACAGAAAATACGAAAGATTTATTTTTCAGTTTTTCTTTTTAAAAATCATTTAGAAATATCCTTCTGCTTTTTTCAATGTCTTTTTTTTTTTTCATACTTGGTTTAAGAGAGAGTTTCCAATACTTACCGTTTACATGGAATATCCGGCATGCCTAAAAATAAGTCAATTTGTTGTTGTTAAAAATCTTAACATCATGTTTTATATCTATGTCTGTCAGAATGGAAATTGGAAAACTGGAAGAGGCGAGATGTTGATCAGGTATCTATTTAAGTTTAATTATATTATTCCCTATAAAAATTTAGAGAAACATGCAAAACTAGGCAGTAACAATCGTAGCAGCAAAAAATTTTCCAACATATTTCTGTTAAGCAGACTTTTAGTGCAAGTGCTTTAGCCTAACGAATCTTCTTGTGCCAATTAAAACAAAAAACTTCAGGTGGGTGGTTGAAATGGCCAAGTGGGCAAAGTGCTTGACCAATCCTGACCACCTGAGTCAGTCCCCAGCACCTAAGATTGGCAGAAGTGAATTGACTCTACAAAGTTTTCCTTGGACCTCCACGTGCATACTGTGGCATGCACACTCTTCTCCTCCACCATACACATAATAATAAATAATATTTTAAACTCCCAATTGAAAACTAAAGACTCCTTCCAGGGGGCTTAGGTAGGCAAAAGTTTTTCTTTTTTTAAGAAAGTACACCTGAATATAAATCCCTAGCACCCACATAAAATCCCTGTGGGTCTTCGTGTGCCTGTAGCCTTAGTGTTGGGAGGTGAAAACCTGCAGATGTCAGGGGCTTACTAACTAGGCTGCTCAGCAGACAGCAATTTCTGGTTCCCTGAGAGACCCTATCTCAAAATATAAGATGGAGACCAACAGAAGAAGATACTCCCAAATCCTCTTCTGACCTCTTGTATGTGTGCATGCATTCCTCCAAATACATGTGCATACACTATACCTCCCACCCCAAAGTCTGCTTTCAAGTAACTTAGTTATGTGTACTGGGTGGGTAGGGGAGGGCCCAGCCTATGGTGGGTGGTGCTTTCCCTGGACTGGGTCTTCCCCTGGGCCAGGTGGTCTTGGGTTCTATACGAAGGTTGTCTGAGGAAGGTATGGGAAGCAAGCCAGTAAGCAGCTCCCCCGATGGCCTCTGCATTAGCTCCTGCCTCTGGAATCCTGCACTGTTTGAGTTCCTGTCCTAACTTGCATTAATGATGAACAGTGATGCTGAAGTGTAAGCCAAATAAACACTTTCTTCCCTACTTGCATTTTGGTCATGGAGGTTTGTTGTAGCAATAGAAACCCTAACTACAATACTATTGAAATTTACATGCTTATTACATTTTGTTTTGACTTCCTGTAATGGTTCTACTGTTTACATTAAGAGTTTCTTTCCTTTATCTCAGTTACTGTTTCTTTTATTTATATGTATTTTACTTTTCTCTGTATTTTAACCTAAAAACATCCTTGCTAATGTAATGGGAAAAGTATGACAAGAGTATAAATATATAGTTATACTATAGATATTTTTTATAGGAGAATGTGTGTATGACTTAAGAAATCTAGACTGAATATTATTTGTAAATGCTAAGCATAGGGTTGTTGAATACATGCTACTTAGGCAGCTATCTTCACTATTGGTAGAATGCTCCTGATCACTGGGCTGTGATTATGAAAGTAGCAGGTAGCTTGTCTTCTAGGTCATGTGCAAGGTGATATTTTCTTAACAAGGAGGGTAAATCAAGGTCTGGGTATTCAGTTTTATGTTTATTCTCTGAAAATTTGTTTCTAGAAGCATAATAAAAATAATATTTTTCTTTTAGGATCAATGCATGATACCCAAGAAAATGACTATGTATAACATGGGATGTCTGGTAAACTCTGCTTAGGAAAGGTTTCCCAGGAAACTGAGAGAGTTGAGCTGAGATTGAAGAATAAACAAGAGTAATGTTAGAAAAGGCTGATGTTCAGATTCAAAGGGACCATAGGATGCCAGGCAGAAACAGGCACAGGTCTGGTGGAGCATGATGAACCTTGGGGACTTAATCCCAGAAGCTTGAGGAAGCTCTTGGGGGAATGGGGGTGGGGGGAGTGGGAGGGAGGAGAGAGAATGTGTATGTGTGCATGCAAGAATCTTCTGGCTTCAGGATGAATAGATGAGATGAGAGGGAGAGAAAAGACTGAGGAAGTGTTTCAATACCACCAGTAATGGGGGAGTGGCATCATATATATATATATATATATATATATATAATATCTGATAAGGAAACTGAGTCACCAGGGAAGTCTAATAAAAACCTGCTGAAGTTTTCAGAGCTAGCAAAGCCAGGATTTGAAGCTGTCTTCCAACTTCTAAGTGCTTGGAAAATTTTGAGGACTGATAGAACACAGCCAATTAAGTTTAGGAAAATAGAATCTGTTATTTCCCTTTTGGTGAGATGTCTTTGGATGATAATGGTCAAAGTACATTACAGTAGGCTGAGCAGTGGGTAGAGAGATGAAGAATAACAACAGAAACAGAAACATCTCTGAGACAGTGGAACTAAAAAAGAAATACCCACAGTGCCATTTGGGCCTGTCTTTCTTCACTGGTGTGGACAGAGTTCCTTCTGATGAGCTTATTCCTTCAGTGCTTGTGCTCATTTCTCCCGGTAGTCTAGTGCTAGTTCTTTTGCATGATACTGAAAAACTCACACAAAATAGCCAAGTTCTTAGCTAATAGGGCAAGTACTTTTTGATTTTGTTTTGTATTGATGTCCTTTAATGGTTACTTTTCAAATTTAGTTTTTCATAACTTCATATCTAGCAAATGGCATTTAAAGACACTGATATATAAAAATATATATAAATGTTTAAAGGTTTTTTATTATAATAAGTATGGTGATAGTCCAAATATAGCTGTATGTGAGGATGCAATTTTCTGGTTTATATGTGCAGACAGACTTACTAGAATTGAACTCTTCTATTTCTAGGCTGATATTGCACCACTGATGGCATCCCTTATTGGAGTTCCCTTTCCTCTTAATTCTGTGGTAAGGAATAACACTTTTTACCAATACTCCATATAGAAATAAATTTACTTTTCATGTGCCCCTCTATAATCTTTATTTATATTTAAAACTGTATTCCTTCCTGCTTATCTATATCTACATAGGTAAACCTCATAATTGAGTATATGCTATATAATATGGAAGAAAGTTTGCCTTTAAATGTTTTTTATTTATTTATTTATTATTAAATTTTTTTTATTAGTTCAAGTTAGGGAACAAGCTTGTTTCACATGTAAGTCCCTCTCCCTCTCCCTCCCCTCACCTCCATCCCTCCTCCCCCACCCCCAACCTACCACCCCACCTCATCCACTCACCACTCCCCAGGCAGGGTAGGGCCCTCAATGGGGCTCTGCAGTGTCCTCCAAATCTTCTTCCCCATGTGTCCAGGGCCAGAGTGTATCCCTTCATGTGGGATGGTCTCTCAAAGTCCCTTCTT